TATCTTGTTCTTGTAAAGCACTATTTCTTTTTGAATAAACATTATTATTATTATATTATTATCCTTCAATAAATAGTTTATATTTTATTATTCTCTATTTTCCTCAAAAAATAAAAAAAAATCATAAAGTAATTAATACACCCTATTATTCATAGCGGATAAATCAATAATCCCTGCATAAAATAATATAAGAGAGTCAAACTGATTGCATACATTTCAGCACTGAGAGAGACGCATAGAGTCTTCAATGTTTGCTTTCTAGTAAAACCATGACATCACCAATTGTTTATCGCTATATTTCTGTTAATTTAAAAGCAAAAAACATGGGGAAAGCACTGTTACCTTGTCAATACATAGGCGAAACTTTTATGAGGAATAGTTTTTCATTTAGGCCTTCGTTTTTCGTCAAATAAGATGTATATTTCTAAAAAATTTCTTTGTGAACGGTTGAAACCGAGATATTGACGTTTAATTTTTTTTTTTCGACCATAAGGGTTAATGCAAATGATTTCTTTTAAATAATTATAAAAAAAATACTTCCTACAAAGAGCTAATTGTGCATTAGAACAAAAAATAAGCATTTTTTTTTCTATACGGTGGTATCAATAACTCGATTTTTTATGATAGTGCCCTCTTGTCCCTTCTAATTTTGTATTACCTCCGGAATAAGAGTTAGCTTATCATGTACTTTCATCCCTGAAAAATTCAGCTTGTGACACCGAAGTGGGAGGCAAAGTCAAAATAAGTTTTAATCTACACTATACTATATGTATACAATTTTACGGAACTTGAGACTCGATACAAGTGCTCTGTGACACAAAATTGCTTATTCTTGGTTGTCTCCACCCACGGTACTCACCAGATTTAGAACCCGGCGACTTTTACCTCATTTAGAAGCTCAGACTTGATTGCAAGTAATAAATTTAGTACTGGCTCCATTTGGAGAAGGTTCTAGTATGTTATGGGGTGGGATAACTTTAAATGAGAGCACAGATAGCTCGTGAGTAATATATGATATCACTTACGACATTTTCATCCTAAAATAAATAATGAAAAATATGGCATGTCTTGCATTTTGAGATTCAAATCCCTTCAAATCATTGTTATACATTTCTATTGTCTTAATTCTTCTTGGTTTCCACTGAAACGTGAAAATGAAGGATTAAGACAAACCACGTTTGCAAGCAATCGACTTGCACCGTAGAGAGATTCGCAAAAAATAATTTTTAAGTTTACTAACAAGTCAAAAAACCGTCAATAATTGACTCTAAATCAAAACCATCGGACGCAGATCAAGCATATTTTTAAAAATCAATGTTGTATAACTTTTGAGCGCTGTATACTGGCAGGCACAAAGTTGTTTGAATTAAAGCTTCAAACTTTAAGAATATCTAAAAATATACTTTTTCCGCATCTCAATTTGGTAGCGACTTTTTTTTCTCCTAAGTACGATCTAAATGCAACTCGAACATTATGAGTTTAAAAAAATGTTCATTTGCGTTTTACTTTCTGATTTTTCTTTGGTCAAGTAACGCTAATCGTTTCACACCAGTTTGATATGACTTAATAACTCTATTTTTTTTTATTTAGTGCAAAATATCAACTACGGAATGCGAATTACAGTTTTCAATAACATCGAGAGTTTAAGAATACAGATAGTAGTGAGTATCTTTCTTTTTACTAAAAGTTTTTACCAGTAATTCTGACTAAAGCTACGCCTACCATTTTTTTTTTTCGAATCTATTATCCAATGAAACATTTACATTTTCTTTCATACGTTTTAAGATAGAGTTTTAGTTTTGAAGATAGATGGTTTTTATATTTAATTGAAAAGGATTTTTGATTTTAGAATTATATCGAAAGTTATTTTTTTTTAAATGGCCAACCATTTCAGCAGCTTGATGTATAACTGTCAACATAGATTTAACATATAAAATTCTATACAATAATATTTAAAAGGGGTTCTCCAAGGATCTATTTTTAGAACACCTTCGTTGTTTATTATCACTTGAAGATCAACTAGTTACATTTTCAGTTGATTATTATTTAATCAACATTCATTCAGGAAGGGAAAAACTATCATCTTTATTGGACAATATCCTACAAAGATTATTGTCAAAATATTGTTGAATAGAGAAAATCAAAAACTTCATCCTTTTTCGTATCACAGCAAATGTAAACCAATATTTACAAAATAATTTTTTTTTATTTGAAATATATTATTAAATAATAATATATTCATAACAAAGAATTTATTAGAAGAAGTTTTTTAAAAGTAATAGCCATGAAAATTAGAATTTATGATTTATTTTTTAAATAGAGTAGATGGGAAATGGGGCATCAAAATGAGGAGGTCAATGACCATCAAATTTTACTTCCTCATTTAATTTAATTCCTTAAAATATGAAACTATTACATACAAACTTTTTAGATAGTATATTTAATGATTCTAAGAACACATTGAGTTTTGGCAGCGTAACTTTAGTCACAACTTGATTGTTAGATAAATAGACACCGAGGTTAGGCGTTTAATTTATTTATAAATCAGCACGGAAGAATATCATTATATGCTTATAGGTAAGTGCGTTACGTGATGCACAATTTTTGGTGTAATGAATGCAACTTTTCTTTATGATATATATTTATATTTACTTTTTACTACTAACGCTACTACCACTGTTTTAATTAATCTAATGTTTGACGGGTTGCCTTTTGTTTTTTCGCAAGAGAAAATTAAAAGAAATATTTACTTCGCTTTTCTAAAAATTAAATTTTTTACTTAGGTAACGTTAACAGAAAATATTTTAAATATAATTTTTTTCAACTTTTGCCAAATGTGAAAATTCATAAACCAAAAATTTAAAGTATTACTGTTAAACTGAAAGCTAGCAATAAAAATAAATAAATTAGTGTGGTGTAACAATATTTGAAGTGACATTATGCGAGAAAAGAAAATACCATCAATTTACAATAATGAGACATTTCTATAAATAAGACTTGAGCTGTCGTCTTCCAATACTAGTAAACTCACGATGTCAGGAATTTGGGATGACATGAAAAATCTCCTGAATTGAACCAAATTGATAAAAATAATTATGAATCGATTTCAGTTTTGCACAGTTAGTAATGAGTCGATTTTTTTTATTTTTATCATTTACTAGAGCCGTTCTTATGATAATTGCTAATTGCAGGTTCCTCACAGAAAACTTAAGATGATGCAGAGTATTATTAAAATGCGAATGTAACACCGTGTTCGCCGACAATACGTCAAACACGAAAAAAAAAAAGTAATTTTATGTGTAAATGAGATATTTTGACCCACAGTAATAAATAGTACCTAATTATGAAATAACATAGAAAATCTTGTATCTTCTTCCATAAATATTTTTTCAAACTTTTCTCAATGCGAAATGCTAGACAAACCCATGGAATGTTTCCGTATGGTTATTTTGTTCAATCTCTAAGGCATTTTTTTGTAATTTTTTTCTTAATATATTTACATTCATAATTTTTGTGATAAGCGCTACGATATCAATTACTTTTTTTTAAATGAAATGGTGTGATATTCAGACAATGTTTATTTGACGTGTATTCGTACAGGGTGAATTTTATCATAAGAGGGTTCATTATAACACTATGTTTACTGACTTTTCAGGATTCATTAATTGCAATATTATTAATCTTTTCATGATTTGGATTCAATTTATAAAAATAAATAACTTAATAATACGGAATCATCCCAATAAGACAGTATAAAGCACTGAAATTTCGTAACACCCTGTACATACTACGACCGTACATCATAAGTTTTAACAAAACAAAACATTTCAACCCAATAATGTCTCTAATTAGATTGTTAGTAATTGGTAGAGATGTTAATTAAAAAAAAAAAACAGTAAACAAAAGATCACAAAAAGCGTACGATCAGCTTCATTTTAAGAAAAACTTTAATTTTATTTTTAATAATAAGAGGCAATTTTTTGACTAGTAAGTATGAACTGCCCAAAACTAATACACAACACAGCGTTTTGCGGTGTTAAAAAACGCGACGCTTCGTCCGCCATCATGTGACATAATTCTTATATAATAAAAATGGCTTAAGTAACAAATTTTCTAGAGAAATACTGTAAATAATGTAAAAAGTATTTCGTTTTAAGTGCACCATGTAGTGAACAATAAAATAATTCCATTAAGTGTTTAAAATAAAGTGATTTTTTTCCAAGTTCTACATCTCCCAGACCTATTGATCGCACAGGTATTTTCATGATTTTGCAAAAAGCTGAATGTCGGTCCTAGCTTGTTTATTGAGCAGAAACCTGTCAAACCGCTAGAGTTAATGTAAATATTTAACACGCACGCTTCCGTGTTAATTATTACTAAGGATAAAATTAAAGTTGGCAGCTATTTATACCGATATTAAAAAGCGATCAGAAATTTTTAGACAATTAGACAAGACAGTTAAGACAATACACAAATGACACAAGGACATCCGAACACCATAGGTCCTTATATGAACCAAATTTGGTAGTCTTGTACCACGGACTTTATTTGGAAGATTTAAAAGAAGAAAAGACCAATCAAGACATTACAGCAATAATAATCAGTATAAAATCTAATGATGAATCCGAGGAAGAAGATATTTTGGTAATGAAGATAAAATTAAATACTATTTAGCATTACACAGTTATTATTTACACTATTAGGTATATTCAAAATAATTTGAAACAAATTAATTTTAGGTTTCATATTTTCACGTGTGATTCACTTGAAATACCAAAGGAACTAGACAATATTCTAACGTGGAGCAGAATTGGAAATTCATACTTAGCAGCCAACATATTAACGTCAAATATTTTTATTTATAATTAATAATCTTTTTCGCTTGTTGAGAGTAAGCTCGCCGAGGCATTGGGGCTGTAAAGGAACATTTACTGATGGTACGCTTATTGAGATGCATGTTAAAAGGAAAAAGTATAAAAAATAAATATAAAAAAAATTACTTATGGAATTTGAAGGAGTTGGATAGTTCGTTGATGGCGGCATTCGTGACGGCCTTGCCAACTGCCATCTGCACCTGCTGAGGCACTTGAAAGCCTCCTTGCTGCCCTGGGAGTCGACTGTACACACGAGACAGACACATCACTTACCCGCAGTTATCACTGTTTTCTTATAATTTTATTTTAACCGTCAACATTTTACCAAAATTCCTTCGTTCAAAACAATTTAAACCAATCTGGCATTTATGGTATTTTCATAGATATAATAAACTGACATATACTTAAAAGGCCCGCACCACTCCATGCATCTGTGGTATGGTTGCTCGCCATTCAGCAAAGTTTTACCAAATAGAAATTAATCCAACTGCAATGATTAGCTCATGCTGATTAGATTGATGCCAACGGTACCACATATGCACAGAAGCCTTATTAATGTAACAAAGGCATTACAAAATAGAAATTACAAGTAGATAAGTCTCGTGCTAGACATGAGATCAGACCACATAACCAAGAGGTACTCTTTTAATACTCCATTTGAGGTTTTAATACAGGAAAGAGCGGAGATCACCATAAGGGAGCCCAATGCCCACCGACACGAACAAACCTGGTATACAGACGGGTCTAAGACTGCGGAAGGCACTGGGGCAGGAGTATTCTCCAAAAACCCTGATACTAACCATATTTATGCTATAGGAATACATTCCTCGGTATTTCAGGCCGAGGTATACGCAATTTTGCAATGTGCAAAAACGAACAATGAAAGAGCTGTCGAAAATCAGCATATTCAAATAATGTCAGACAGCCAAGCGGCACTTAAGGCCATATCGAGCCAGAAAGTTACGTTGAGGCTGGTATGGGAATGCATCAAAGAACTAAGAACACTGGCAGACCGAAATAGAGTAAAACTATTTGGGGTGTCAGGTCACCAAGGGATCGAAGGCAACGAAAAGGCTGACGAACTTGCAAAAAGAGGGTCAGAAGAAACACCGGAACCAGACGCAAACCCAAGAGTACCAAAAAGTACAGTCGGGGGTTTCATAAACGACTGGATTCGGGAACAACATATCAACTATTGGGGAAGCACCCCAAAACAGGCACATGGAAAAGCCTTCATAGGCAGACCATGTCCCAAAAGAACTGGAGAACTACTCTTAATGAATAGGAACCAGTTGAAAGTGATAACAGGGTTCATGACTGGGCACGCCCCAGTAAAGATACACTTGAACAAAATTTGGCATGTACAATGGGGAACTCAAGTGCCGACTATGTCACAAGAAACCAGAATCGGACAAACACATACTGTGCGAATGCAAAGCTCTAGATCGCAAAAGACAGGCTCTTTTTGGACAACCCCAGGTTGATCCAACAACGCATAGAACCCACTCACCCAAGGATCTGTACAAACTTGTACAAGGTACAAAGGTAACAGAGTGGGTGTTATGAACTAACATGGGGTAAAACACAATAAACCAATAGGCTTCAGTGTTATTCGGAGACACATAGTCAGACGAGCCCAGGAGAAAAAAACTGCAATGATTAGATCATGCTGATTAGATTGATGCCAACGGTACCACGTATGCACAGAAGCCTTATTAATGTAACAAAGGTATTACAAAATAGAAATTACAAGTAGATAAGTCTCGTTTCTAAATGCCTGGAAAGAAGTTGATAAGCTTTTCAGAAGAAACTCAAGCAAACCTTTTACTAAGCCTCAGTCACTGTCTGAAATTTTGCAAATCTACATCATAAGTCCCTTTATGATTAAGGTCTATTAAAATTCAGGATATTTCCAAACTATAATCTAAAATTTCTCGAACATGAAAAATAACAAAAGAGCAGTTTCGCATAAAATGGTTGATAGTTGTGGATTATCAAATATTTACATGGTTAGCGACTTGACTCAGTTTGCGTTCATAACAGACATGGCATGTTATCAGCCTTTTGACTGTACACGTCCAACAAGAAAAAAGCAGAATAAACAATACACGCGGTAGAATCTGTTTTACTGTTGGTGATCCACTAATCCAACAACAGTGGATTGAGGCATACTAATAACGTACCTGGCCTGTTCTAAAAGCAAATGAATTTTACGTATATGGCTGCGTGTTATAAATTCAGTGCATTTATAGTAATTCTCAAAATTGTTGGACAATTTTCGGGCATTTCCTCATTCCACATAATCTGGACCATACCCGTATTTGACACTAAACACCTTGTCGAGTGTAACTCAATCAGCAAAAATATGCAAACACTCCACAGATCAAAGCAACAATCCGTACAGTGGAACCAGTGGCAAAGAAGTCGAAAGCAATTAACAATGTATTCTCTCTTGACAGAAAAATGGCAACTCCCGTATATTGGGATGCTAAAGGTGTAATATTGGAAAAGATCAAACGATAAATGGTCAATATACTTATACTTAAACAAGAATATACGCAAGGAAAGATCTGGATTAGTGAAGATAAAAAATATCTATAGGGCACACCTCAGTCATTGCCACGGCTAAAATACATGAGTTAGGTTATCAATAGATGTTTTCATTGGAAGACCTTCCGCCATCTATCAGTTTACATAGCAACTAACAGATAATTTTATTTCGAAGGAAACTGTAAATTTGTCATTTCGTCAAACTGTTACGGCGTCAGCATAAACTTCTTCTTTTTTCCTCGTCTTCTTCTATTGTTGTATGGGTTCACTTTTTCACTATCTACCCAGGGCCAGTGTTTCGTTTTTAAAAACGTTTTTATTTTACAAAAATCAACCATAAGAGACCTAGCACGCTCTTCTTGGCAAGCCAGATAAGTAAAAAACTGAGCCCATACAGTTAAAGAAGAAGATAAGGAAAAAAGAAAAAAAAATGTGCCGAAACCGTAATATTAGACAGATTGATGAAAAGATAATTTACAGTTTCCTTTGAAATAAAATGCTGCTTCTAGTACTTGCAATAACCTTTCAACTGGAATATGTCTTCGAATGAAATCACCTATTGGTATTCTATTCGCCAAATTAATCCTAACATCAAATATTTGAATGGTAGACGATAATGTTGATGCGACCAACGCCTTGGAATAATTAATGAATTGAAAATCAGCAATAGCTAAAACCAGTGTATCCATGGAAATTAAAAGCCTGATGAGCTCGCCATAGATGGATCAGAAATAGCATTCACAGAACCCAAACCTATTTTGGATACGCAAAACATTTGCTCGATTATCAGTGAACAGGAAAGCCCCCCAAATGCCCCAGATATCCACCATTGTAGGATTACTAATGAAACACTGATTGCTGAAACACCTCCATGTGATGGGATTACACAATGATCTCACAACTCTGCATGAAAGAGGCAGAAACCTCATTCATAGCAAGTTACTTCAGTTAGGCGGCGACACATCCTTTTCCGTCTAAAACCGGAGGGTGCCAAAACACTTGATAGAGTACCTAGGAAAGTTAAACAAAGAGACTACTATTCAAATATAGTACTGAATATGGGGAATGCAAAGGGAATATAATAGACCCAAGATAACGTAGTGTTCTGGGCTAAATTTAATTCTACTTTCTTATAACCGATAATGATAAACAAGTAATAATCATTTTACTGCATCTACGAAGACACCACATTTGGCATATTTCAAACCGATATTTCTTTTAAATCTGCTACGTTCTTGTCTATTTTGTTTAGAAAAAACGTTAGATTATGGTAAAATGTTGAAATTTTAGTAATTTTAATAAAAAAAAAAACAAATAATATACATGGTCGGCATGGCAGAAATAGGACTATTTAAAAAAATTTAAATACTTTATTTTTCATCATCTATACATCTAAGTCACTTACAATTTAATTTTTAAATATATAAATATTGTATTTAATACTTTGCATCTGCTTCGTAAATATAAAAATTATAAAAAAAAAATAAATATAAAGAATCCCTGAAGAAAATATTCTTCTCACATAAATTATTTCAAATTCTTAACAGGAAATTTTTTCGAATTTCCTCGCTATGCCTAGGAATTTTTTTATTCTGTCTTTTATTCTACAAAAAAATAAATCTTATTATTCTCTAAATCCCCTAGTTTGAATCAAATTTGCCAATACGATCTATTAAAAAAAATCTAATTATATTTTTAAATTTGTCAGCCCTATTTCGACCACTTAAAAAAAATGAAAAGGGAGATCATTTTTTCAACTTTTAGAGATCAATTAGTGTTTTTAATACTGTACTATAAAACAAGAGTGCACACAGCGAGAAGTTGTCATCATAGCAAAGACCAATTAAAAAATATATATAACTATATAGGAATCTTAACACAAACAGCTATTATTTGTATAAGGGTTTATTTATACTCCCTTAGTATTTGTATTAGTATTATGATTAAGCATTAAATTTGTTAAATCATTCAAAAAAGGTATTTATACTCGTTTTATAATTAGTATTAGTAATTCTTTTTTAAACCTAATACCTAATAAGATATAATTCTGCAGTCAACAAAATATATGGTTACTGAAGAAATATGTAAGAGGCCAGAGTTGCGTTCTTTTAAGATATTTGAGTTTTAAATGTGTTTTTATTAATATTTTTACTAGTTAATTTTATTTAAAAATATTATTATTCAAAAATAGGTTTAATTAAGGACATTTTAACGGATTTCAGTCTCAAATTTATAACAGATAAAAAGAAGCAGAAATTTGATACAAATCAGACAGAAAAGAGGCCTTTGCTTCCTCGTGGTGACATGTCATTTGTCAACTTTATAATCGGTAAACACTGCTGATACACAAAAATTGTATACAGCGCATGATTTGTACCAAAATATTATCGTTTTCGAGCTTGTTGGAACAAACATATAAACAAAATAATCATATGTGTATTGTCAATTATCCCTATCCTTTGTCTATTAAAAACAAAGGCCAAATACGTTATTGATTCATTTTATAGAAAAGAAGAAATTTAATATTTAATTTAAAAGTTGAACCTGTCAATTATTAAGCATAAATATTAATGCTAATACTAATCATAAATCGAGTATAAATGTCCCCATTACATTGTGAAGGTTCAACTTAATGCTTAATCATAATACTAATGCAAATACTAATAATAAGGGAGTATAAATAGACCCTAAAT